GACTCCAGAATGGGAGAAACGGAGGCCACCTGTGGATGGGGACACTGCAAGGTCACGCTGCAGAGAACCCACTCCAGGGAGGGGTGTACGGTGATACACTTGTGGGTCCTTTTTGTGGCCCAATGTGCTCAATGTGCCTTTGAAGACCCCAAACCTGCCTTAGAGGCAAAGGGTTCTCTGGACAAAGATCCATCCTAGTGAAGGCTGCTCTCTTTGTGAAAAATAAAATGCACAATGAGTCATCAGGGGACTACTTTCTGCTTTGCCATTTATATTGTATTGTCTATTACTTAGAGAGGAGGAGATCTAAAGTATTTTCTCTGAAAAGACCCCTGAAGGTCCCGAAGCAGACCTTGCCCTTTGCTATTGGCCTGGGTATTGCTCCAGGTGCCATGTCTCCATGCAGAAGTTGGTGAGACCAAGGAGGAGGCAGGGAGGGCCCTGCACACCCCCATAATCTCCTCCCCATGGCCACCCAAATAAGAATGAGATTACACTAGAAAAAGAGTTAGCAGAACAAGGACACCTTCAAAACCGTCCCCCAACGCCTTCCGACCTCACCACTCTGTCTAAATGCTTCCTCCGGGACATCTTAGAGTCACCGGCCTTTACCCACGCCTCCGATCTGAATCTCGCCTAAAAGGGCCTCTGGATTTTCCTCTGCATCTTCCACCTGTTTCTGCCTCCCCTGCACCCTCCCCCCATGCCTGAGCCCCGCTGACCAGGAAGGGTCACCCCACTCCCTCACTTGACTTGCCCCTTCCTCCTAATGGGGCTTTCTCTGGGTTCCTGGACTATTCACTGCAACAGGGTCATTCCGTCCTAACAGGTGAGGAGAGGAGAACGCTGCCTCACGGCTATTGCCCAGGGGACAGGAATCTGCACTAACCATCCCACATCCATGAACCACCGCTGCCTTCACCCCACAAAGATGCACTCAGAGCTTCCCCTGGGCCAGGGTGAATGAATCAAATGAAGTCCCTCCTCTCCGATGCTTGCCGGTTAGTGGAGGAAGACTGACTATGAAAACAAATAAGCAGGGGGATAGTAGGGGATAGGAAAGGTAGCAGAATACAACAGTCACTAATATGCCATTATGTAAAAATGTGAGTATGTAACAGAAGTGAG